TGCAGGCTTCTTTACCACCTTAGATTGGGTAGCCATCTTTACGTTGTGTACATATTTGAAGTCTATAGGTTTTAGGTCCTCGCCAAAAATGAATACATCTACAAGAAACAATCAACGTAGTAAATATTTAAAAAAAAAACAGCTAGAAACTAAATGGATAGCCTTATTCGTCAAGTAAAAGTATTGTAACGAACTGGCAATAAGTAATATAATTCATTTAAAAAAATGTATTGTTGAAAATGTTTGGTTACACAAAGAATATGATAATTTAAACAAACGTAATATTTACCTTTTTTAACATTAGAATCAGTTTTCACACAATTTTGGTCTTGTTCCATTTTCAAGATTTTTCATCTAACAAATGTCTATAACCTTCCTTTGCAAGTTTTGCACAAGTAATGCTGACAGAAAACAATTTCATTTGTTTTTATAATATATTTGCTAATTATATAATTAATTACCGAACATAATCAGTACAGGTAACCAAACAATAATCGTATTCAACTAACGATGATAATGATTTATATTTTATTTACTAGATGTACCAACATTTGTTTACACTATTTCTTCCGTATTTACCAGACAGTACAATAAAATGTTCGGTACTTTAAGTACCGAACATTTAAAGATAATTACGACATGTACTAATATACAAACAATAATAAGTTGACGGGGAATTTGTTACGAAAATATACAAGAGCTTTCGAAGTACTCAATACCCAGTGCGAAGGTCAGGCGCTGGAACCCCTTGTAGCGGCGCGCGAAACAATCATAAGCTAATATTAAGCTCTATTTTAAATGAAACAAGCTTTTGCCTGTGACTTCGTCCGCGTGGTATACCTCGTGTGTTCATAAGTTTTAAGACGAAATAAAAGTTGCGTGACGTTTTTAATAATTAACTTATATTTCTAAAATTACCGCCCTTGTTTTTAATATAGGCCCTTAGACGATTTGGTCAGTCGTCAATGGTGACAAAAATCTTTTCTAGCGGAATTCGCTTTGATTCATGAAAAAGGGTTCGCTTCGGTGACTCCAAGTTTGGGTGGGACTTTCGGCAGACCCTGAGCTATAATTCAATCCATAAAGAATAATCCAGCGGGTTGAGGTCGGGGCTGGAGGAGGGCCACTATTCCGCCGCGATGAAGGCCGGCACGTTCTCCCTCAACCAAGCTTGGGTACTTTTTGCCTTATGGGATGGCGCCGAGTCTTGCTGAAAAAGCAAATCCTTGTTGTGAAATAACGTATCGGACAAGCGTTTCACCACGGGCTCTAAAATTATGCTCTGATAATGCTTGGTTTTCACCTTGACACCTTGTCGGCAGAAATGGGGCAGAGTGACACCTTCATATGAAACTCCCCCCCACCATACCATCACACTAGGCGGATGATGAGTGCACGAGACATTTCGTACAGAAGTTGGTACATCTTTGCTACTTTTAGCGTTATTGTTTATTGTTTTGTCGTCTTTGTCTTCAACAGTAACAATTTTCTCGTCGGTGAAGAGTATCCTTCTGGCATCATGTGTCGTAACTTAGGAAGACGATCGTTTAAAAAGTGAACTTTTCTACGGCTATAAGCACTTTACCTTAAAGATCATATTTCAGTATTCTGTTCACTGAAACGCACGAAATCTTAGTTTGCAGAGCGAGTTTCTTCTGAGTGCGATATGGATTTCAGCGAAGTAGCTCTCGAATGATTTTGATGTTCGCCGGCATCCTCGCAGAGCGTGGCCGACCACTCCTTTGGCGACCTGCAGAGAACTTGTCTCTTTGTACCGCTGTATTGTGTAATAGACGAAGTTATGGTTTACAGGAAAACTTTATAGCTCGTGGAAAATCTGCATCGGTTTTTTTCCTGCCCCAAATTGCGAAATGACAGTTGCACGTAACTGTTTCATTTCCTCCATTACGAGAAAATATAAACAAGTGATTTTGCGATACAAATAAACTAAAAGTTAACATTCCAAATTCAAAATCAGTAAAAAAATACAGCTGGTAACATTTTATTTTTTCAGTAAAAAGTTTGTCTCAAAAGTTATGAACACACGAGGTAGTTAGTTTGGGAAGCATTTCTAAAAAACGCTAAAACAAATATTATTCATACGTGACAATTAGTTGTTTCAACCTTTTTGTCAAAATAAATAGCAACCTATGTCCTATCTCAAATCAACTCTTTTTAGTGGGATTTATTTTTTAGGCAATAAATAAACATATACACAGACGTACTGTTTCTATATAATATTAGTGTCAAATAAATAAAAGAATCTCTTTGTCACTCATAATCATATAATAAGAGATTACCAGAGAGTCACTAAAATAAAAAGTCATTACAATAAAAAGCTATATTTATTTATTTAAGGTACAGCAACAGCTACACATGTTATTAACCGACTAATGTCCGTCCATTATATTTTTGATCCAAGGTTTCAGTGCTTTATCTCTAAAATCTCTAATTTCAAATATAGATGGAAAGAAAAACACAAATGTAAAGTTTATACAAAACTTAAAGCTTTTTCTTACTACATTTTATTTCTAAAATTACCGCCCTTGTTTTTAATATAGGTCCTTAGACGATTTGGCCAGTCGTCAATGTCAGCAAAAATCTTTTCTAGCGGAATTCGCCCTATTTCAAATCATATGCAATTATTTTGTGGCCATAAACTTAAAAAGTTACACTCGGTTAAGCCTTTTACAATTCAAATTCAATACTAAGCTCTAAATCATACAACTCAAATCATTATAGGAATATTAAGGAGATTAAGTATTTTTAACAATTCATATTAATCAATTATATCACGAAGTCAGTTAAATTACATTATTACAAAATAATTTAAAACGAAAATTAACCTTAACCTTGACGCTTAACGCCATCTAGTAAAGCACAAAATATACAGTTTGTGTTTTTTTTTGTATAGAAATGATTTGTACTCGATATAAAAAACATATTTTTAATGTTATTTTTGTTTTCAATTATGTACTCAAATACATTTTTTTATCACAATATAAGAAAGTCTTTATAAATAATATTAGATAGATTTGTTACAATGGCAAATCAAATTGTAAACACTGGTTGCTATGGTAACTAACATTTTAATATCTATTTCCGAAAGACATTACAGAAAAACATTATATTTTTATGTATTAAAATTTTACAATTAATCTCAAGCTCTGTGTGTCTTCCAGTTTTCTTCCCTTTTTATACGATGATATTTTGGTACAATTCATTAAAATTAGTTTAATCAAAATTAATCATTATTAATATCATTAATCACTACAATTTTAGTAGTTATCAGTTATTAAATAATTTTCATAGTACTAATTCAAATCAATCATCCAAATTAAGATTAAAATCATTAATTAACTTAAAAAGTTGCAAAGCTTAATTAGAAAATAAATTTTAAACACAACAACAGTAAAGCATGCCAAGATTTGTGCCTCACGGTGAGTAGGTAGTGTATGATTGAGTGTGTGAGAGAGGTTGTGTATAAGTAATGTTATAGAATAAATATATTAATAGAATAGGTAAAATATCAGTTTTCAGAAGTTCCTCAGTTTCCTGGTAATTTAATGTCTTTAATAACTGAATAACTGCCAACTTACAACATGACCTAGTCATTGGATAAATTTTTATCATTTTGTTAATCTTATTGTATAAGGGGCCAAAAAAACATTGGTGTTTATTAAAATAAAATTTTGTTAACATTTTGATTCCCCATAAAAACTTTCACTTTAATTTTCATCCCATTAGGTACTAGTTTTGAGATAAAATTTAATCTGGCAAGGTGATGCCTTGATATATAAGTCAGTCAGGTTTGCCTTTTATTTTAGTAGATAATAAGGTAGATTAATTTAAATGTTTTTATTTATTTGTAGTAAGATCTTAGTTGAATCTTTAACAAAGTTGTCGTAGCTTCAGTAACCTAGATCTATGTTGGCTTCTCTGCCAAAAGGTAAAAAGTACTTATGGTTTTTAATACACCTTATACATCTGTAAGTACTGGAAACGTGTCAATCAATCAATCGATCATTTATTGCATAAAAATATGGTGTAACAGATGTCATAAAATAAGGGTATCACATATTTACTGTTTGTCAGTGTGCAACAGTTTTACTAGGTATATAAATTTACATTTTAATCTATTCATGCATTAACTTTAATATTATTTTATTCGCACATCATTAACTTAAAAACATTTGATTCAGTTCCTATTACATATTCAGTCTTATAGTTTAAAAATAATTAATAGTAATAATTTCAAAATTCGAATCAATTGATATGTTACAAAAATAATAAGTCAAGTATGCTTAATACATAAATCCATGTCAATTACAAAATAATTTTATCATACACATTATAAAATATGTCATTGTATATGATTTATTTATTGTGTCATTGATAATAATAATTTAAAGCGCAATTCAAATAAAACGAAATGCATAAAGTTTGCATTACCTAATGTGAGGTATGTCAGTGCACTTATAAATGTAAATAGTGAAAACGTTGAGTTAGTAGAATCGACAAAGTTCCTTAGTATTACACTAGATTCCCGACTGCAATGGGATCCTCATATAGGATAGGACCTTGGATGGTTGTAGGAAGGGTAGTCACGTATATTTTTGCTCCGTCGAAATTAATACAAATTAACTTTAAAAAGTGAAAGATTTGATCGGAAAGTTATATATCCATATAGTCTATCAAAAATCCTTTATAATAGTGTAATCGGTACTATGATTGCGATGAAAACAAAAAGTTAGAAGCAAAATAATTTCAAAATTTTTATAAACGACCGCTCCGCATGCTGGCGCCTGACCCGGTGAATCATCGTTTCGTCCGTGCTGCGTTCAAGCCTGCTTGCCCTCCGTGCTTTGTTCAAGCGTTCCAGTAATTTTGCCACCTGTGCCTCATGTGAAATTTTCCGGCTCGACGGCGTGCTTCTGTTTGGGTTCGATCTTTGTTATATATATATACTAGACTTTTAAAATCTTTTATATACTGTCAAAATGAGCTGCCACGGATGCCTTAAAAGCATTAAAGGTGAAAAATCAATAATTTGCACATCTCCGAATTGCGGCAAAAAGTTTCATACTTTTTGTGCCACAAGTGTACATCTTACCCAGGAACAGACAAAAAAGTGGATCTGCCCTGAATGCATTGCACAGGCAAAGAAAGGAGGAGATAACACCCACACACCCATACGGGCAGCTGAAAATGTTACTATGCGTAAAAAAACGAATAATTCTGCTAGTTTTCCACTATCAATACCTGGGAATGACGTGATTGACGTAAGGCCTGATTTAGACGACAGCATGCGAGCGCTATTGGTGGAATTCGGAAACCTGCGCCAAGACATGGCAAAGTTTCAAGCCGATATTGTCAGCAAAGTTAATGAAATGACGGCTAAGATCTCAAGCTATGACTCCATTATTAAACAGTTTGAAGACAAAGAGAAGGAAAACATCGCTCTTAAACTACAGATATCTCAGTTGCAAGAGCAAGTTAACAAACGATCCGAGGAAGCGTTAAGATCGGACTTGGAGATCCTGGGTTTGTTTGAGACTCCTAACGAAAATCCCATCCATTTAGTGCTTAATACAGCAATAAAAATTGGAGTCAAACTAGAGGACTACGACATTGACTATGCATCTCGTGCAGGGCCTCGCAACAAAAAAGACTCAAAAGAAGGGAAACAATTACCTAGACCTCTAATTGTATCTTTCACTCGTAAAATAAAACGAGCCGAGTTTTTAAAGCAAGCCAAGTCCCGTAGAACATTAGAAAGCAGGGAGATCATCGGAGAAGGACCGGAAAGGAAAATATATGTGAACGAAAGGCTCACTGCTGAAAAGCGGTGGCTATTTCGTACTTCTTGAACCTGGATTAAAGAAAATAATTATAAATATTGTTGGCTCCGAAACGGGTATATTTATATAAGAAAAACTGATGGAAACCCTCCAATTCAAATCAAATGCCATGAAGACCTGCAAAAGATCTCCAATGAGAAGAAACCAATTTGACTCCAACTTAACCCTTTCGATTGTATGTCAAATGAAATTAAGCTATCAATGTTTTGCATTTTTTGTACTAATACCTTTTTTATATTTTTTATATTTAAAATTTAAAATTAGATTTGTTATATTTAAAAATTGCTTCTGTTTGCACGCGAAACTATATATATATGGCTTGCGTTCTTGGTTCTTTACATGTATAGGATTCATTGCTGTCATTCGCATTGCTTGCAACAATTTTTGCTACTTGGTTGTATTTGGGCACATTGTTCTGGATCACAAATCAGCTAATATTTCGTTCCTCTCGGCACTCGGATTGTTGTGCTTTATAGGAACTGTTTTAATGGCATTTAGTTTAATGCATTCCTACTCGTTAAGTAATATTATCCAACTCAATGACTACTCTCCAGCTAATAAATGATATTGATAATAGTATGAATATAGAGTGCCATACCATTTCGGTTCCAGAGGAGTCCAGAGGAAGAATAGCTAGGTATCCGCTGAAAATATTACATATAAACATAAGAAGTATGCAGAAGAACTTTGACAACTTTCTGGTCATACTCGGTAGATTGGGTATGGAATACGACGTTATAATTATGAGTGAATGCTGGATAAATGAGTACTCCATTATCAAACAAATTAGAGGATACCACTCTTACTGTACATCGAAAGTCATTAATAAGTCTGGAGGAGTCATAGTGTATGTGAAGGACAAGTGGTCGCCTATAGTATCCAAACCAGCCATTGATGAAGCAATGTGTCTAACCGTGGAGGTCCCTCTCTACTTTACTGTATTGGGCATATATCGTTCGCCCTCTTTCGATAGCCCCGCATCTTTTATAGGGGATTTAGATAACATACTGAGTTCCTTATCCCGAAGCCCTTGTCCTGTCGTGGCGGGAGACATGAATATTGATATACTCGACTTACTAACTCATAATGAAAATACCTCTCTTTATCTTAATACAATGTCTCAGCACGGCTTAATTTCTTCCATAAACGTACCTACACATAGACAATCATGTCTAGACCATATATTTGTTTCAACAAAAATGAGTGCGACATCTGTTGTTTGTCAGTCAGATCTAACGGACCATTCGTTAACTATGATTGGAATTGAAACACAATATTCAGCTAAGGAACCTGTTAAAAGAATGAAAGAGAAAGTCAACTATAAAGGAATTAAACTAGAACTGAACAAAATTAACTGGGACACCGTTATCACGGGTGAATCTGTTGAATCTGATGTAGCAAATTTCACGAAAGTACTCTCAGATTCCATAAAAAAACACACAGAAGTTATTCATAAAAGTCACTCATAGACTATCTTTAAGCCCTGGATGACACCTGGACTCCTGAGATGTTCAAAAACATAGAGATAAATTGCACTCAGACTATAGAAAATTTCCAACAGATGAAACCAAAAAACTAGTATACACAAGATATAGAAACTTTTATGTCTCGCTCCTCAGAAAACTTAAGAAAGAACATGAAGGAAACGAATTAAAAAAACATCTAAACAGACCAAACAGGTTATGGAAGGCGATAAATCAAATATCCCATCGGTCTGCGTCACTGCCGAATAATTTTGCTAGTGAACTAATAAATAAAAATGATCGATCTCTGACAGAATCTCTGGATGCATGTAATTCTTATTTTTCCACTATAGGCAGTGACTTGGCTAACTCCATTTTGAAACGATGAAAAGTGACACAAGAATCCATTGCGTCCAGAATCCAGGCGCACAGCAGCGCAGTTAATTCTTTCTTTCTTTACCCTACAAACGAATACGAAGTACTTGCGTTAATACAGCAACTAGACACAAAAAGTTCCCCTGGTATAGATGACATAAATAATGGTACTCTCAAGGCAGTCGCAGGGTTAATTTCACGTCCATTGGCAGATATCTTTAATCATAGTATCTCTACGGGTACCTTTCCAGACACGTGGAAGACAGCTGTTATAATACCTATATACAAAAGCGGTTCCAAAAATGATCCCAGCAATTTCCGTCCTATCTCACTTTTGAGTAGCCTCTCAAAACTATTGGAGAGAGTCATAAACAAGAGACTGGTGCATTACCTGGAATCACATAATTTACTGTCTAACAGACAATTTGGCTTCCGTAAAGGCAAATCGACAGAAGATGCAGTCGCCCCTGTTAACGGATATTGTCTCATCTCACCTCGACAATGGTCGAAGCTGCGTAGGGGTCTTCCTGGACCTGACCAAGGCTTTTGACACTGTCTCCATTCCAATACTCCTTGGGAAGATGGAGGCTCTTGGTATTCGAGGAACAGCTCTAAAATGGTTTAAAAGCTACCTTTCTGACAGAAAACAGCGAACAAGAATTGATAATAGCTTAAGTGGTTCGAAACCAGTCACTTTTGGTGTGCCCCAGGGAAGTATCCTAGGACCTATTCTGTTCACCATATACATCAATGAAATCTCTTCTCACATTATTCCTAATGCTGAAATTTTGTGCTATGCTGATGATACAGCCATAATTTTTCATGATAACACCTGGGATTTGGTAAAACGGAGCGTTGAAGACGGTATAAGACATATATTGCAGCTGATGGATAAGAACATTTTAACCCTTAATATGTCTAAGACAAAATTCCTTTGTTTTCACAAAACCTTAGTTTCAGCCCCCACCGACCTAAACATAATCAAAGCCCACTACTGCCATTCTCAAAGTATAATATCTCCTTGTGGTTGCGCACAGTTACATAGAACGGATACCCTGAGGTACCTAGGAGTGCTAATTGATGAAAGGCTTATGTTTAAAGAGCACATAATAGCTATGGCAGGAAGAGTTAGAAAAATAATACATGTGATGAAAAGTCTCCGAGAAGTAACAGATGGTAAAACTTTAAAAATGGTGTACATGGCCCTCTGTCAATCGATACTGAACTACTGCATTTTGACCTGGGGCGGTACTTTAAAGAGTATTCTCATTGTACACAAAGAGCGGTGCTAAAAACCGCTCTTTTCAAAAGTCGACTCTATCCGACCATATCGCTCTATCATGAGGCTGGGGTACTGAGCGTGAGGAAGTTGTTTTTATATCGAGTAGTAATTTCTGTTCACAAAGAAGTTGTAGCATAAAGCCAATATAAATCACTACTCGAAAAAAGAGTTTTTAAGATACCATGTCATGTGATCAAGACTACCTTTGCGCAGCGTTTCAGACCTTTTATTTTCCCACACATTTACAATAAGCTTGTTAACACCCTTCAAATTAAAAATAAATCGGTCAGGGAAATAAAAGTACTGTTGCCCGGGAAGCTTCTGGAACTTGACTATGAGGATACTGAAAATCTGTTGAGGATCCAAAAGTAGCTATAACGATCTTACTTATAAAAGTAGAATAAAAAAAAAAAATGCTGATTATAATGTAGTGTTTAAGTATATAATGTAATGAAGTAGGGAATGTCATGTATCTGTTGTTGTGCTGTAACTGTAACTGGTACAAAGCCCGCCACAGGTCAGGCCTAGCCTAGTGTGGGGGCCAGTATAATCTTGTAAATGAATATGAAATCTTTTTGGGAAATAAATTTATTATTTTATTATTATTATTATTATATTGATAGCTTGTCAAGTAAACTGAGTTCTGCAGCTTTTGCTGTTAAGAAAATTAGACTCTTGACAAATGTTGAAAAGGCAAGATTGGTATTTTTAGTTATTTTCATAGTGTAATGACGTATGGTATATTGTTGTGGGGTTCTGCGGTTACCACTCAGGATATCTTTATTCTACAAAAGAGAGCTGCCCGTGCTATATACAATATAATTTACGGTCTAGGGAATCTCTCAGAGAAATATTTAAAGAAATAAATATTCTGGCTGTTGCCTCTCAATAGATCTATGAGAATATTATCTACACAGGAAAACATTACGATTCCTTCACAAAAAAAAGTAGTGTTCATAATCCTAACACAAGAAATAAAAATAAACTTGCTGTTCCAAGCTTCAAACTTCAAAAAACCAGAGGTTTATTTCTGGGTAAATGTATTGCTATGTTCAATGAAGTTCCACAAAATGTAATCGACCTACCCATAAATAAATTTCAAATTCATGTAAAGAATATACTTATGAGTAAAGGCTATTATAAAGTTGATGATTAGTTTAAGGACCGCAATGCATGGAATTAATAGCATTCGCTCTGTTCTATAACGATTAATTATAGGTATGTACCAACCTATGTTCTACAGACTTTGAAACTTGTATTTATTATTGTTCAATATATGTATTATTTTGGTAATGACATGATTTATGTAATTGTCATTACTTATGATAAAAGCTGGTAAGTTTCTTTCGCTTGTTCTTCTTATCAGCTAAAGGACGTCCAGAATAAGTGGTAGGGGAAAAATATTTTTGTACGATTCAAAATTGCTTGTAACAAGCTTACTTGAATAAAAACATTTTCATTTCATATAATAATTTATTTATTTATAAGCGACTTTCACTCTACTAAAATTGCTTACATTCCAAATATTCCTGTATCGAGTAAAATGATTTCTTAAGAAGCCACTCCGTCAAAGCATTTTAAAAAATGTTTCTGTTAATCCGTAAATCTACTAGTTTTGATGGAAGCTTGTTGAATATATTTATAGCCATATAATATACATTTTGTTTGAATAATGTCAAATTACATTTCGGAATAATAATTTTATTTTGTCTCGAACTTCGTGGGGTTTTTTTTGACTTTAGTAAAATATTGTGGATTTTTTTTACAAATAAACAGAGTTCACAAATATTAATGCAAGGCAAAGGTAATATTTTTAATTCTTTAAACATAGGCTTACAGGAATAAACATAGGTCTCGTCTTTTTATACCACATATTGCTCGTATGCATTTTTTTGAGCTATAAATAGTCTTTTTATATCTACGTTATTACCCCATATTATTACAGCATAACGTAGCAAGGATGATACGTGTCCATGATATGCTTGTAAGGCTATATTTTTAGAAGCGACTATTCTGACTTTATAAAGTGCAAAAACTATTTATCTATTTTTGTAGCTAAACAATCAATGTATTTTTTCCAGTGCAAAAGTTCATCTAGAGTTATGACTAAAAACCGCGCTGTACTTACTATGTCAATATTAGATTTTTTATATTGTATATTGAAGTTTATTCTTTTAGATTTAGCTGTATGAAATTGTATTATGTTAGTTTATGATATGTCAGTTTTTAAATTGTTTTGGTTTAGCCATTCTATTACATCGGAAATTGTGT